CCCGTCGCCGGCGAACCCGGGCGTCTCCAGGTATTTAGAAAGAACAATGGCAGCGTCCCAGACCACGCAGCCCACGCCGCCGGAGCCATACTGCTGCAGTCGTAACGCCGTGCCATCTCTCTTCTCCAAAACTCGCACAAAGTTCCCCAACGGGTCCTCCGTTGAGGACTCCAGAGCAGCCTCCATGGCTGCCCGGCTACAGAATGCGGCGCACGAACTGACGTCACGCCCACGCGCATCCCCCTGAGGCCCCGCCTCCCGAGGGGCCCCGCGCCTCCTAGTGGCGGAGTTGGAGCCTCGATTTACCAGCAAAGGCACAAAGCCTGGAAGGCAGCGTTACCTGGGCGTGGCCCAGCGCTGGGGCGCCAGCTTCCCCTGCATCCTGGACGGCCTCTCTCCCCTAAATTACAAGTCTGGCTTAATGAACAGGCAGTTTAAATCACTTTTCCAGGCAAAGAGAGTAATATAATCTGCTCTTTAAAAAACAAAGTCAACCTCAGAATGTTTTTACCTGATTGGAGATTAACTCACACCGTAGTTATTGGCCTTAAATCCATCTCACCAAGGATGGCTATAATCCTGCTTATTAAAAATTGCCAACATGCTCCTAATTTTTCATCTGAATTCATAAAAATTACTAGAAGCTTGCTGATTACGTTTAGCAGTAAAGACAATTACCCTCTAAAATTTACATCACTTAAATGCTTTGGGATTATGTAACTGAAGCTATCCATAACCCTTTGAAAATAATGTGCATATAAATATTTCTACAAAACTGACCAATCTCCCCCCTTGTTCCTTATACTGAAAACACATATTTTAAAAGTCTTTTAAAAATTAAGACTGGGGTGGTTTATTAATCTTGTTAAGCACTCTGATACAAAGCATATATAAGGCCACAGACCAGTAAATAAACAACGTGGCTTTGGCTACCTTACAACTGCTGCTACACCACTATCAGCAAAACACACTTTTTCATCACTTTTAAGGAAGGAGTCCAAATAGCAAATAAAAGTTTTACTCACTTCTCTGATTAAAAAGTTTAATAAAGCTTTAAGTATTTGCTGGTTTAAATATTACCAATCTAAAAAAAATATTTAAAAAAATTTTAGTTAACACAAGATTTATAGAGAAAGTTACTAGGTTTTGAAGGCAAGGCAGTTGGTTCCTATGCCATAAGAAACTTTTCCTTTGAATTTATCAATTAGTAAAGTAGCAGATTGTATTATACACCTCAAGTCACTTAAATTTATATAGGTTATTAGCATCTTTAAATATACAATATAAACAAAACTGTACATACATGGCATATTAACTTTGTTTTCCAAAATAATAGGCAATTCATTAGCTAAAGACACCATAGTTTGCAAAAACAAAAGGCACATCTGAAAAAATACATGCCCTTTTCTCCTCTATGATGGGGTTAGGTAGTCTTTTTGTTTACATTTTGGCTAAATAATAGACACAGTGCATTCTATTCTTTTCATTCTATTTTTCATTTTTGTCTTTAGCAGCAAATTCTGGCATTTAAGACATGGCATTAACAAGTTTAAGAACAATGGGTGTTATTCACAATTCTCCAAAATGTAAAAACTAGAAGATGGTCAAACAAGTTAAAAAATCAGTAACACCATACACCTCCTATATTTGTGTAAATTTATTGCCTTAAAAAGGCAGCTATTACTCAAATCTGAAAAGTTCCACAAATGCACTATCCCTTTTCAGTGCAATCAGTCACTTTAAACCATATTTTACAGAGACTACAGTGCAAATATAAATTCTTTATACTGGCCTTTTGGCAGCACTGAGGATCCAAGACAAGGCAATGCTACTGATCACCTGAGGATAATGACGAAGGACTTTTGTATTTTTATTTTTCTGATTTTAAAAGCTTATTTGATCAGTAGCATTTTTAAGAGCATTATTTGTAAAAAGTACTAAAATACTATGCCTTTTTTTAATAAATTAAAAAAAACACCTTTACAAATATCATTCCAGTGTCAATGACTACATATGGCTAAGGTCATTGAGGAGTTTCTGCATTTTCTAGCAAAGGCAGTCTATACAATGGGGGGTGTGAAAGCTCCCGTTTATAAGTCTTTGGTGGCAGTTTTGGTAGGTGAGGGCTTGAATTCTGCCTTGGTGGAACAGGGGGAGCTTGAGGATGAGCAAGATTATTGTGACTAGAACTGAGCACGTAGCATCGACGTGGTACCCTTGGAGAGGGTGTGCTAGGAGGAGTGTTTGGTGAATTTGGACACGTGCTAACGTCTCTGAACCAGTCTGGATCTCTGTGAAGATGTCCCAGTGGAGGTGGCTGAAGATTAAATGGACAGTTTATAAAGTGTTCTGGAGGCCGAAGGGGAACTGGTGGAGGAGTATCAGGAAGAGGATCTCTCGGCGGTGGTGGAGGTGGACTATGCAGAGGCCCATCAAACGCACCAGTAGGAGCAGGAACTCTGGGTTTTACCTTTGGAGGAGGAGGTTGTCTTGGTGGAATAGCAGGGGGGTCATCATCAGATTTCATATTTCCCTTTAAAAAAAGTAATTAAATTATATTTCTGTTCTCCTGAAAAATCTGGAAGAAAAAGTTATTAAAAGAATTGCCCTGATCGGTGTGCTCAGTTGTTAGAGCATCAGCCAGCAGGCCAAAGGGTCGAGGGTTCGATTCCCGGTCAAGGGCACGTACCTGGGCTGCAGGTTCGATCCTGGCCCTGATCAGGGCGGGTTCGGGAGGCAATCAATCAATGTGTCTCTGTCACATCAATGTGTCTCACTCTCCCCTCCCTACCTCCCATCTTCCTAAAAAAATCAATGGAAAAAATATCCTCTAGTGAGGATTAACAATAACTGAATGAATGAATGAAAGAAAATTCCTATGTGTCAAGTTAAATCCAGGAGTTCAAAATAGGTTAATTTGATTCAGATTTATGACTAAATTACTCCCAGTTTAATTCAGGGCCCCAGTTTAATATTTTTATATATGAGATGTTTTAATTGAAATCTTAGAACATAATGCCATAGGTTATCTTGCTTTATATATACAACTCATAAACTTATGCATTTTTATAATAATAGACAAGTGAATGAAAAGTATAGTTTTGCAGACATGAAAGAACATGATGTTAAGAGGACTTAATATCCAGCTGCTGCTTTCTGGCCACCTACTCTACTTTTCCCAGTGAGGCTTAGAGTTATGGTTTGAAATGTATGATCCAGGGACCAGCAGTAACAGCAACAGTGGGGAACTTTTTAGAAATGCAAATTATTGAGCCCCACCCCAGACCTACAGAAACAGAAACTCTGGCAATCTGGTTTTTAACAAGCCTTCCAGGAGATTCTGATGCACCCTAAAGTTTAAAGAATGCTTTGAATATTAAAGTTATGTCCACCTCTACTAGTACAGGAGCAAAAATGTACTTCTGAGTATTTGTGAATCTGCCCAGTCTCTTTTTTAGAAAAAGTATTATGAGTAATTATTTAAAGTATTTTTCAAATAAAACAACCCAGATGTTTAAAAACCATAAAGGGTACCCAAATTTTAACTGACAGACTCTTTAGAAGAACAAGCACTGTTTTAAAGATTTACAACTTTGAATGAGATGAGGCAAACCTAAGTCCTGTTGAGTACCTTGGAATTTGAAGCATCATGATCAAATTTTTTTCGAGGAGGAAGGGGAGGAGGAATCAGTGGCTCTTCACTTAGTTTATGTAAACTACCACACGAACTGAAGAAAGACTCTGTGGGTTAAAAAGATTAGTTTAACCACAATTCACAGTACATTCATTACATAAATTTAATTTCAATTTGTGATAACCTCTGCTATGGCATCTGTCAGACTGTATGGTAGCTGACTATTGGTTTATCTAACCTCTCCATTAAACTGTAAGCTTTCTGAGGGCAGTGTGTATTTATTTTTGTATCCCTAGCACTTAGCACAATGGTACTACCTGGCACGTAGTAGGTACTATCTCTATATATAAAAGCCTAAGCAACTGTTGTGACAGAACAACTGGAACAACCAGTTGACCAGTCGTTATGATGCACACTGACCACCAGGGAGCAGATGCTTAATGCAGGAGATGCCTCCTGGTGGTCAGTGCGCTCCCACAGGGGGAGCGCCGCTCAGCCAGAAGCCAGGCTCATGGCTGGAAAGCGTGGCTGTGGTGGCGGAAGCCTCTCTCAACTCCACAGCAGCACTACTGAGCAGTGGCAGCAGGCGCAGTGGGCCGGGATGAGCGTGAGCGGCACAGCACCTGGCCCTGGTTCTGGCTTCTCCCTGGCCACCTGCTACTTGGTACACTGCTATATCCCGCTAGCAATCTGGGACCCCTCGGGGGCCTAAACCGGCAGTCAGGGTCCCGGATTCCAAGAGGGCGCAGGCTGGGCTGAGGGACAATCCCCCCAGTGTATGAATTTCGTGCAGTGGGCCTCTAGTAGCTAAATAAAAGCATACAATTTCATTAAGATTAAATAGAGATGTCGAATAGGTTACTGAATATCTGAGTCTAAAGGTCAAGAGAGAGATTCTGGGTAGAGGAAAAAATTGGGGAACTATCATCATATAGATGATATAAGACTGAATGAGACAATCAAGTGAGAGAGAAGAAAAGAGGGCCAAGGACTGAATCTCAGGGCTTTCCCATGTTAATAGGTTAGGAAAATGAAGAGAAATCAGTAAGAGAGATTAAGGAGCTAAAAGTAGAAAAACAAGAGAGTGGATGAACAGTCATCTTCATGTATATTACTGCTTTCCCAAAGAGATGATATTTTTGTATAAACGAAGGCTGAGACTGTCTTTCTTATTTGCCACTGAATCCATTGTACTTAGCAGAGTGACTGGTACAAAATGAGTACTCGATTTTCTGTTGAATGAGTAAGACCAAAGGGAGTGAACATTTTTATGATTTGATATGTTTTCAGATTTCTTTCCAGAAGGGTCAAACTAATATACCAACCTATAAGGGTAATGTATGAAAGAACCTTTTAACATACGCTTGCTCATATTTTGATCTGGATGGTTTATTCATGTCCATTTTTAATGGATTCTTGCTGTTTTTCTCATTGTGTGTGAGCACTTTTCACACTTATTATTTTATTTAATTCAAGGTTTATTTTAGGATATTCACAATTTTAGGCAGTTATTCTCAGTATTTTTAAATTAAATTTCAAACAATTTTATCATGTGAAAAATATATTTTACTACCATCCAAAATAATGGTGTTAGCCCTTGCTGGTTTGGCTCAGTGGATAGAACATTGGCCTCCAGAATGAAGGGTCCCCAGGTTCCATTCCAGCCAAGGGCATATGCCTGGGTTGCAGGCTCAATCCCCAGTAGGGGGCGTGCAAGAGGCAGCCAGTCAATGATTCTCTCTCATCATTGATGTTTCTATCTCTCCCTCCCTCTCCCTTCCTTTCTGAAATCAATAAAAATTAAAAAATAAAAAAGCAAATATTATAAAATGACATAGTGTTATGGACTGAATTGTATTCCCTCCCAAAATATGTGTTGAACTCTAACCCAAGTGCCTATAAATGTTGACTTTATTTTAAAATACGGTCTTTACATATATAATCAAGTTAGTATGAAAGCAGGCCCTAATCCAGTGTGACTGGTGTCTTTTATAAGAAGAAGAGAAGAGACAAAGAAGAGACACATGGAGAAGATGGCCATGTGACAACAGAGACAGACTGAAGCAATACATCTACAAATCAAAAGATGCCAAGGATTGCCAGCAAATGCCAGAAACTAGAAGA